CCCCCCCCCACACACACACACATCATAGAAAAATGTGCATGCGCTCTATGTTTATAATGAACTAGATATAGATTAATGTAGATTGATGTGAAAAATGCTGTGGGTAATATTTTCCCCAAATCACCTATGATAAAAAAAAATACCTTTTTTCCTTTTGTTCTCTTGATTTTTTTCCCTTTTAAGAAGGATTGTTGTGATAACAAGTGATTAGCAGAGATATTATAGACAGCATCTAGAAGTTATATTGACTATTTGTCTCGCCCCCTCCCCTCCCCTCCCAAAAAAAAAAAAAAAAAAAAAAAAGGAAAGAAAGAAAGACTAGCCTAAGTCATAGTTTTACAATTATAATCAAAGAGTTCTTTACTTCTAAATAAAGAGTTGCAATGTAAAATGAGACAAAATGGAGTAGGTGCAAAACAAGAGGGTCGTTCAAGCACGCACAAACTCACTTCAAAAACATATGTGGTAAGTAATGTTTATTTGTAGGTTTAACTTGGATTGAAATTTTTAGTATTTTACAGAGAAATAATTGCATGCACTTGAAAATAAAGTACTGGCAAGCTCTAAAGTGATGGGGAAAATGAACAAACGTGTCATCATGGAATGAATTGTTAGTAATAACTCAGGCGAAATTCTGGAGAAACATAGTATAATGTTGCATTAAAGTATTCTCATGTCAGGTGGGAAGGCAGTTACCAAAATTTACTCCGACACAGTTCGTGAAATGGAAACTGAGTGTCAAAAGAAACAAGACAAGTCATGTATCAAGGAAAACATTGGTACTAATTCAAGTACGAGTACCACTGTTCGTAGTGATGCTCTGAGATTGCTAGATGGGGAAAAGATGCTGGAAAGCAGAGAGCTGAAGTTAGGTTCTGAAAATAGAGTTGAGGCTGATTCATTTGCACATCAAACACCTGAAGATGTCCTAAGAGTCTTCATGATGAAGGAATTTATGGGCACTCGTTATCTCGACAATTTATTGGTTCCTGATCATCGACAACAGAAGAAGAAGCCGTAATTTGCAGCAAACATACCTGGAATCACGAACTAAACGCATGCAGCAGAGTTTAATTCTAAGTATGTATCTGAAATCTCATATGTGTTCGTGTTAATTGCTCTGCTAGTAGTTTATGCATTGTAAATAGATCTAAATTACCTCTATGTTTTGTTTCCTTTGAATTTCGCGTGATGGGCAGCGAACTTTATAGATGCCTCCGCAACATTATGATGGGTTTGAATATGCTTGTAATTAGATCTAAGTACCTCTTTTATTCCTTCCCCTTGAAGTTCTCATGGTGGGAAGCAAATTTATGGATGCGTCTATGACGGTGATGTGATATGGACTATAGTATCACGAGTTTGAATATGCTTGTAATTTAGATTTGAGGTATCGATTTGTTGTGTTTCATTTGAAATTCACATGATGGGAAGCGAGCTATATAGATGCCTCTACAAAGGGTAAAAAATTTGAACTGGAGTATCATGAGTTCAAATCTCAATAGAGGCCAGTCCTTTTCCTTGTTAGCTATGCTGGAAAATATGTTTGTGTTGACTTGCTTGAGGTTCGATTTTTCATGCACAAATGGCAAGAATTAGAAATTGCAATTTGAGCTTAAGCATGCAAGTACATAGACAGATTTGAATTTCGAAAATTTACCACATCCCATCTAATTTACGGATTTATGATTTCAACTTTATAGATTTGAATTTCTGAAGTTTACCGCATCCCATTTAATTTACTAAGTTCAAAATCTCTTATTTATACTTATCTAATACTAATCTACGTCTCAATATCCTTTTTAGTCAGTTAGAATCTTTTCCTAATAAGGAAAATCTTAATTTTAGTATTTCAATATTACCTTTAACGAGAAGTTTTCACGCCACAAATGGTATGTCATTTTACCTCATAAGTTTCAAAAGATTTATAGTTACACAAATGTTATGACATGTTTGTAATCATTAAGTTTTAAAGTCTTTGTTTTGTTAAAATTCCATTTTCAGTCAAATAGATTTATATAAATTTGAAACGGCGGAATTAGATATAGATATTTTTAATGCACATATATGGTTTAAGCTGAAACTATTAAATTTAAATGAACTCATAACTTATTCGCTAGATTAACCCAAGACATTCTGTAGATAAACTATCCTTATCTATTTTAGTAGCATAGCCTGAAAATATGGTTGGGCTACATTATTTTTCTTTAAACCCTTTTAATTACATAGGGAAACCCGGGAAAGAAAATAGAGAAAACAATGAGTTTAGAAGTTAAGGAATGAATTTTGATCTTCAATTCTTGGTTTTGATATTATTTGTGGTATTTCGGGTATTTGAATAAGTTTGAATAATATATTCGTACTTGTTTGTATGGTTGAACGGGAGCCCGGAGGCTCGGGTGTGTTTGGGTATGGCTGGTACTGTGTATCGCACCTGCGAAAATCGGAGCGCAGGAGCAAAGTCGCACATGCGAGAAGGAGGCTGCTTCTGCGAGTGTTGCTAGTCCAGTGGTTGGTCACACCTGCAATGAAGGAGGCGCAAATGCGAAGGCACTTCTGCGGTGAAGTTTGCGCTTCTCCGAGATTTGATCGGGCGAGGCAGGATCATACCTGCGTGTATGGTGTCGCATCTGCGGAGTCATAAATGCGTGGTTTATGTCGCAGATGTGGGCGTGAGGTGAGTGTAGGGTTCTCGCAGAAGCGAGATATCTTTCGCAAATGCAAGGCTACAAGTGCGAGGCTTTTGTCGCAGATGCTCTATTGACTTTCAGATTACTTATTTCAAGAGTTTTGTTCATTTTTTACTATTTTGAGTTTTGGAGTACGGAAAAAGGTAATTTTGGAGAAGATTTTTACTACTACTTTGTGGATAAGTAATTTATATTTGGATTTAATTATATATCTTGATTCCCCATGGATTTATACACTTAAAACATGGATTTTTGAAGAGAAAATTAGAGTTTTTGTATACAACTTAAGAGAGTATATTTTGGGGATTTGAGGGTCGATTGGAACTCGATTTTAGAATCTAATCACATATTTGAACTTGAAAGATCATCATCAAAATTTAGTATTGGTATTGGATTTCGAGTATGCGGGCACGAGCTTTTGTTGACTTTTTATGAATTCTTTAAAGATGGAAGTGTTATTGATTGGAATTGCTTCCTTTAGAATTAGTTGACTTCCTTGGATGATGTTTGATTAGATTCGAGCCGGTTAGAGGTGATTTCTCAAGGAAAAAAGTGATTTTAAAGCTTTATAGCCTAGAAGAGATAAGTATCTTGCCAACTTTGGTTTGAAAAAATTTTCCTATTAAATGATATTGTTTGCTACATGCGGGGGTGATGTATAAGGTGACCAGCGCATATGCATGTGCGATGGTTATTCATGCTCGGGGTAGATTCTAGATTACTTTATCCCTTGTTTGGTTGTGTGTTCTATGCTTTACTTGATTGAATGATTATGTGAGCTCAATGAGCCATGCTAGAGTTAATTTTTAGGTTAGTGATACCTTATTTTGAACATGAGGAGCTATTCTTGAGATTCCTAACATAATTGATTTAGACGTAGTCACCCGAATATTATGAACATATACCCATTTTTGTTATTCTTGTGTTATGCCTTAAACTGTTGTATGACTGCTTGAGTTTCTTTACCCACATTAAAGACTATGATTTAACTTTTGATGTTTATTTGGGCACGATGATTATTTGGATGACATATTACATGTTTGGTCCATAGTCATACATACATACATACATCCTATCTTGAGATTATCTCTTGTAGACATGCATACACTTATGCATGGTTATTCCTCCGTCCATGTACATTATATATGTTTATCTCATATTCATATGCATATATTCATGCATATGGTTCTCTGATATAGACCGGGGTTATGACATGAGGTCTTTATCGTGCATATATTGTTATCGCTAAGACACGAGGTTTCTATAGTAGGGTTATTGTGATATAGTTAATGATGTGGCACGAGGTCTCCGTCATGCGATTATGATGGTATTAATATTATTATAGCATGAGGTTTCTACCGTGCAATGCACGAGGGTTCGGCCATGCATCTTGTGGGTATGGATACATCTCCCTAGGATCGCACTTTCATATTTCTCTCTTGATGGCATACAAGCATGTTGTGAGAAACCGACATGTTTCTTGTTGATCGTGATGTGGGATCCTATGTGATGAGTTATTAAGCACAAAGATAAAAGTTTTGACTATTCAAGTGAATCCTTTGTACATATTCATGCATTTTACATGATTTATTCATGCATATCTTTTATATATGTTAGTTGAAGCATTATACATATGTACAAGACTTGCTAGTGAGTTGTTGGATACTTGGAGAGTGTCGGATTGATGTAAATGGAGAGTCATCATTGTACATTAACATGTTGTACTCATGTAAAGATTTTCATATAAATGACCTTTAGAAATTGATAAGGAATCAGATCAGACACTTTACATTCATATGGAATATTTGAGTAACTACTTTTTTCGTGCACGTTGTATCTACCTCGGCCTGTTTAATTGGAAAATCATGGGTATTATTTCTTCTTCTATTATGCATTTTCATTGTTGATATTTGTTGTTCTATAACTATTTTTGGATGCTTCTTTGTAATATCTATGCTTTTGAGCTGCACATGTTATATAAAGTGAGTATCTTTTTGACTTAAAACCTCGTCACTACTTCATTGAGGTTAGTCAAGATATTTACTCATGAGTACATGAGATCGGTGATACTCATACTACACTTCTGCACCCTGCGTGCAGATTTTTGGAGCTGAGCTGCTTGGACGACGAAGGCTAGCATTGAAGATGCACCATCATTCCAATTACAAGCTACCACTTGTTCGTGAGTGTTTATGACTTATATTCAAACAGATGATGTAGATTTTCTTCATATCAAAGTTATATTCATATTCTTACTCCTAATCGCTTATGACTTGTACTACCAGTCCTTGGGATAATTATGTGAATTTTCGCAATCTTATTTATTGATTATTTATGATTTCATGTTTGAGTTGTATTATATGTTGTTTGGCTTGCCTAGGGGGTCAGGTTAGGTATGTGGTGACCTGATAGGTCATTTTGAGTTTTAACCTTTATTTTTGTATTTTGAGACTTAAATAGCTTCGTTTAGCGTTTCTTGATTCGTGTGCGCAATCCGTGTTTTTTCAGAAATGTTTTATGTGAAAAATAAAGAAAATATAAATTTTAGCCTTGAAAATGATTTGAGTTGACTACAATTAATATTTTATGTAAACGGAACTGAATCAGTATTTTGATGGTCCCGGTAGGTTCGTATCGTAATTTGGGATTTGGGCATATGCCCAGAATTAAATTTGGAAGTCCCTAACTCGATTTAACGTGATTTGTTGAAAACTAGTAATTTGAAGGTTTAAAGAATTCCTAAGTTTGACCGTCGGTTGATTTTATTGCTATCAGGTTTGGATTTCTATTCCGGAACTTGGTATATGTGCATTTCACTATTTATGACTTGTTTGTAAAATTTGGTACAAAACATAGTTGATTTGACGTGATTCAGATTGTCCGGTTGTAAATTTGAAACTTCTTAAGTTTCTTTAAAAATTTCATACATTTTGATGTCTGATTCATAGTTCTAGGTGTTATTTTGGTGTTTCGATCGCTCGAGCGAGTTCGTATGATATTATTACACTAGTGTGCATATTTGGTTTGGAGCCCGAGGGGCTCGGGTGAGTTTCGTATAAGCTACAGACCATTTCGGACTTAGGAGATTGCTGGTTTTTAGTGATTTCTAGTGTCTGGTGCGTTGTTCTTCGCGATCGCTAAGGGTAACCTAGGATGAGATGGGATTTCTTCTATGCGAACGCGTGGGTGAGGTCACGAACGTGAAGCAGTGGTGGGATGGTCCTTCGCGAACGTGAAGCAGTGGTGGGATCGTCCTTCGCGAACGCGACCAAGACCACGCGGACGCGATGGGTATTGGGCCTCAGAGGGGATTTGTTGGCTATTCTACGCAACACAAACCAAGGGTCATGAACGCGAAGGACAGGGGGAAGGGCCATCGCGAACGCGAAAGGCCAATTGGGCTGCAGTGCTTCGCGATCGCATTAGGTCCTTCGCGAACGCGAAGAAGACCCGACGCTAGTGATTTAAAACTTCCAAATGTCGGGATTTTCTTCACTTTTCACCATTTCCACGTTTGAGCTCAGCCTACAGGCGATTTTGAAGAGAAATTTCATCCCAACTTCATATGTTAGTAGATTTTAACTCGTTTTCTTCCATTTTTATCAACACCCAATGGTTTCTAACCTTTAATCTAAGCCTTTTCATGGTAGAATTAGGGATTTAGGTAAAAAATGAGGATTTGGAGAAATCGAGATTTAGACCTAAAATTGAGGTCAGACTT